TTCCTCGGTCTAACTGTTAATAAACCATGGAGTTAGAAATTAGCATCCCACATAACAGTACTTTTCTCACTATCATTTCACGGTCTGTTCTTTCAATATATGTGGATTGCGAACTAACTACACAAATTCAGATATTTGTTTATTTAGGCTCTGGGGTTCTCTGTTATAGACAGGTCAGGGACGAAGTCAACGTGCATTATGATTCCATCAAGAAAACATTCCCATTTTTTGTATTTAGCATATCTTCTGTAGGCCTATAGGCTTATATTTCATTCAAAGATATACACCCTGACAGTCTCACATATCATGGCAAACAAAGACACTTGATGATAAAACAGGAAATACCATACACCAAATGTTCGAGCGGAATTGATTTTTAGCTCTTTCTTCAGTTAATAGAATACAAACCGACCAGGTGAATTCGCGTTCCGAATAGATGAATAAGGAACGGAGTATCTTGAATGAGAATAAGGACAAAAGAGAAATAAATTATCAACCAAAGAATGAGAAAGGTCGCCAAAATTACTATGGACACAGCTCCCATCTTTTGTTGAGATTTTATATTTATTCAACTGATGGTTAATAAGCGGCGATACATAGCCCTTAAGTGTCCTTTAAAGAAACTAATGAATAAGCCAGCGAAATATTTGAAAAAAATTGACAAATTTAGAAGCAATTATGAGTTCCGGAACCGCCTGAGTATGCGGATGTGGAAAGGTAAACGCATCAGTTTTAGGGTAGCAGGTTTGGATTAGCCCATTCGGTTGTTAAGAGGCACCACGTACTCTTGATGGTCTTGCGTCGGTTTTGCAGCACAGCACTGAACACGTGAAGCCATCTCTTTTTCTGTCGATCATGATTTTTACGTATTACTCACTGTTCGCTCTGAATGGATACTCATCGCTCATTTTTGCATCGTCCATTAGAGAGGAACGCGCGTATGGTTGTAATGATATCACTGGTTTGTTTAATTTTAAGATGAGTCCTATCTGAGACTTGACGACAAATTCTGAACTTGATCTCTTTGGATAACCTACCCTTGAACGTATAGAGACGACGGAAAGCCTCAAATACATGACTAGACTCTGTCAAGTGGTTCGTAATTGCCGTCGCCCCGGTCCTTGTCAATCCGTGATTCAACCAAACGGGTTCATGCTTCTTGATGCGGTCAGGTGAATGTCCCACCATTCGACCCACATAACTTGCTCCACGGGAACAGGCGAATTTGTAAACGCAAAATGAGGTCTTATCCGGGGCTAATCTATCTTGAGCCTGCATAAAGAGGACCGGTTTGGATGTGAATGTAATGCGGGATTCTATCGCAATGTAGGTAGGTCGCTAGCTAGGCGATTGCCATCTGATGACAAATTACCGGAAGATCTAGGAAAGTTTTAACGATAGAGAACGGTAAATATGTATGAAAAAGTCTGGGAAAGTTGATAGTTAAATCACTTACCTTTCAACCAACATGATGACAATGCTTAATGCAAAACTGCAGCACTCCAAAACAATCGTCTTGAAAAATGCAGATATCGTGGGATCGCCTCATGCCAGACCACAGAAATATCAGAGTTATGTCTATGTAACACAATCCAGTCCAGATGACCAAATATAACTAATTCGTATATACCATTGAGACATCCCATTAGAAGTTCTGTGTCACCATCACATTTAGTGCTAATGTGGCTCAGGGCCGAAGGCTTTAGATTATCCTTAAATTCGATATGGTGATGATATTTTCATATCGCCGAGTATTTCATACTTTGGAATGTATTTCCCCTGTGGCTTCATTCATCACATTTTCTTATATCCCAGGAGGAATTATTGAAAATCGCATTGTTACGGCCGATCAACTAAAAGAATTTGCCAATTACACAACAAGTGGAGGTCTGGATGGAGCACGATCGAAACTGGTTGGTATTCTTCATCAAGTTCGAGGTCAAGAACTGATCCGAAAATTCAATTCTCATCAGACGGATCTGGTTGTATTGTTACAACAACACTCGAAAGCTGCCGAGCTAATATCGAAAACGAATGTATAGTCTATTTGACCCTTGTGAAATTGTGGATTGTTCATTCACTCGGTTGCTGCACCCTGCGATTAGTGTACCAAAGGTTTTCGACACTGGATGTTAAAAGTGGTCTTCATTCGACCCAGTTAAATCCAGTGAACACCCCTCGGCTGCTAATAAGGATAGCCGGATTTTGATATTCCTATATAAATTATGATGTGCAAGATTTGTTCTTCCTTGGATAAGTGTGCTGTTGGTAATGGTGAATTTTGTTTTGGACGAAGACGGAGAAGCCTAATCTTCCCACTATTCACTTGTAGTAACTGGTTTCTTTACCTTAGGGACTGGAATTCACGAATCGCTTAGAACCATTGTGGCATTGAACGGGGCCACAAAATACTGTTCATTGCTCTGTTATACTTTAGTCCTACTCCATTAGCCTAAATTGCATATCTAGAAAGTGATTTCTCACGCTTTTCATAATTTTTTCCTACCAGATATTATGGTGGAACTTATGAGGTATTAGCTAGTAGATTAGCTACCGAAAACAAGCTTGTTCATCACTGCTTTGCTTCCAGTGTGACAACGGTATGTCCAGGCGGTCAATCAAAAAATATTGAAAACACTGTATGGATAGTTTTATTCTGATTTGGATTAATTAGCAATGCAGTTACATTCGAAGGCTTCACCCCGGACGTGTAGGGTTTTGAGTCGGATTCTGCTAGGCTGCTCGAGCTGGTTCTAGGGATTAGTTTCACCAACACTACGATGTAATTCCTCTCAGCGCTGTTGGTTGGCTTGAAGATGTGCTTACTGACCACACTATCAGCAAATGCTTTTGTTGATGGAAGAAATTTCCCTTTGTATTTTATTTACCGGTTATACGAACACATTAGCAATCGAGCTCGTTTTTGGTCTGTAGTTGATTGGAAAAATACGGTGGAGTCGATCTCTGTGATTGAAGAATTGGTTATATTGGATTAAATTCATGCAGTGGTAACAAAAAGCATGCTTATTTTATATATGTGTGAGAAAAGTCCTGACTCATTGCTGTCGCCAAGAGCAGAGCCGTACGCTACCGAATGCGTCTCCATGTAAAGGATCGGGGACCGACCGCTCTATCGCGGTTAACGGTGGAGAGATTGGTTTTAGGAACACTGAATAAGCGGTTGCCAACGATCAACGGCAGTGCTTGAGAATGTGGTGAATTTACCACTTGACAGGGATTCTCCACAAAAACACCACGTTTCTCATGGCAGCGCTGTGACGTGGTGAACGTTCAGTTCAGTTCAGTTTATACCACCATTAACCATGCACCTTCGTGCACCGGTTTTATATGGTGGAACCTCAGTTAACTGAGTCAGTTGAAGCCTTGAATACGTCAGTGAAGACAGTTGGCGAATACGGGCCGCAAGCTGACAGCGCAGCGCATCGAACTTTATTTATTGAGAACACGAAGGACAAGCAGAATTTTGCCAGACTGCATAACAAAGCGATGAGGAAGTTAAGAATGCCGGTGAAACGAAAACCAAGTACACTTCTGAAAGTACTGGAAGCAGAGTACAGGCACCATGTTGGAGACCGTGTCGGTGGCCCTGGATCAGCGAAGTTACTCCCTAGATTTTGAGTTTCATGTATAACACGGATAAAGAAGATTCCAATGAACATATTTCAGGAGACGAACGAAAACAGGTGTGCGTATCAAAGTAAACTGGATAGATGATACGAGGGCAAATGCCGTACACCACAGATTCGTCACAGATGAAAACCTTGATCAGATCTTCAAAATTTGTGCAATAAAACAACCCAAATTCTCGACCATAAACAGATTTGTCCAAATTTTTGGAAAAGGGATGTCGTTGCTCGACGAATGCATAGTTCATTTTCGCCGGGAGGAATGTTGTGCAGTACTACTCACAATCATGAGTGGTATGCAAAATAGTGCTGTTGGTGGTTTCCTTTAACGAACAAGAAATAACAGGACTACAGAGGGCAACTCGCTGTCTCCAAGAATAACCACCGAATGCTCCATGCATTACCTGATGTGCTTCGATGATAGATTTCAAGCCAGATTTCTGTTATATGTATACTAAATTAATGATATCCTAACTGTAATCTGCAATAAACAACTATCCTTGACCGAGCACCGCCTTGTGGAATTATAAAAATAACGATGTAGTTGATCAGCGTCCTTCACTGACTCAAGGAGGGTGGACGCCAAGTAGCGTACCAGCAGTTCAGTTTCAGTTTTTACAACCATTGACCACGCATTTCCATGCGCCGGTTTCGGTTGCTGTTAGTTGGTTGCCCTTTTCGATGAAAAGAGCGGTNGAGTCAAATAGGATAGAGAATTCATATTTACCAAGGCTACAAAGATAATGAGTAGATACACGAGCGCCACTGTTTGCGACACTCAGCAGTTGGATCATTTGTTGTCCCTACTGGTGAGGTGGTCGGAACGTAGAACAAAAATTTTCTCTGATTTTCCAGCAACAGGATTCTAGTCGGAACTGACCATCCAGATGCGGGTCACTCGAGGTCTTCCGGCTTACTCTAGCATTCATATGTCAAGCTAAAATCACTCGATCATCCCGGCTTGCTTCGGTAGACAGTATCTGGGCTACAGCTAGTGTTGGCGTACGTTGTGACGCCAAACAAGTTTTGTCTACCGGGGCATGACTGCTTACTTTGCACGAACCTTTAGGTCTCACTGCGCATAATCGACTTTCGACCGGGATCCAGTCTAGGATCGCAGCTTGGGCTCTCATTGAGACCCACACCAACGCCAGCAAGACCGAAAGCCGCCACTGACATTCCAAAAAACGAGAGCGAATAGGGGCAGGATTCTCATTTGATTCACTACTGTTTGTACGATCATCTGAAGATCCCGATGGTTTTGGAAGCATTTGAGGGGTCTGAGTGTGAGGTTGATGATTAATTCGCAAACAGGAAGATGCGCAAGGTGTAGAAACTTTTTCTCTGGCAGAAGAAAGTTGTGAGAACGAATTCTTGGGCAAGTAAAAGATCAGTTTTGGTTGGGTTGTGGGCTGTTATACTACTCAGTCTACAAGCCCTGAATATGCCTTGTTCGAGAGTGTACTCTAGTCTTTGCGCAACCAAGCTCGTGCTTCAGGGTAGCGCTTTCATTATAAACATGTTTTTGTTTGGAGAACTCTTGCCAGGAGTGGAACCTACCACATCCTCGTGCACTGACGTTGATCGTCCCCGATCACTTATTAGGGGATATAAGCCCATCTCATTCACGGCTTGCCGCGAGATGAAGGTTGTTTCCCGATCAGCGACCTGGAGATGCAGTCGGTAGAAGGCAGGTTTGCTCAGCTGATGCGGACCAAAGGACGATTTTTAAACCCAATTATAATCAGTCTGATCTAATACGATCCATTAACCAAAACAAATCACCAGCGTATTTCGCGATAAAATGAGTGGATACAACATATATGATTCAGGGGAACTGGCGTGGGCGGTTCAAATCAGGTTAGAAATAGGTACTTTGAGATTTTGACAATTAAGTGATATATTTTGAATACTTTTGAATAATTGATGGGTTACCATATAATTAAGTTCAATATTGTGTGGCGTATTCAACATTGAATAAATTTAATTGTAGTGGTGTAGACTTGGATACTTTGTTAGTCTAGGGCAGAACACTTGAGCCTTGATACCCTGAAATACGGAAACCAAAATTAATGTCACTAGGGCAGAGCGTCGTGATATGAATTATCATTCCAAATTTAATTTCAAAGCTCCACAGGGTCAAATGTGCAGTTTATGACCTTTGTCGATCACTTTTGGATAGACTTTTTCCTAATCGATTCCTCTAATCGTAAATCATCCTCTAAGTTCCGATCCGGCAGTCGATATTGCGAAGGTTTGCCTCGTATTCCATCTTAGCTTATTGTTAGATTGTCGACCCAATCATCAAGTCGAGCTAAATGCTAATTGAGTATCAGGTCGGTTTCCTCTGTGGGGAACACAGGAAATGCCTGTGCATGCGTAACTTATATTAAGCTCGCGACCCATTTTGCACATCGAGATCTATCACCGAACAAATTCCCATCTTCATAACTTACCCTGGCTTTCTTTTGTCACATGGCCTTTCTCACT